AACAAGTGCATCGCTACTAGTAACAAGTGCCTTACTAGTAGTAACAAGAAGCTAGTAGAAACAAGTGCATCGCTACTAGTAACAAGTGCCTTACTAGTAGTAACAAAAAGCTATATATATAGTAGAAACAAGTGCATCGCTACTAGTAACAAGTGCCTTACTAGTAGTAACAAGAAGCTAGTAGCAACAAGTGCATCGCTACCGCTACTAGTAACAAGTGCCTTACTAGTAGTAACAAGAAGCTAGTAGTAACAAGTGCATCGCTACTAGTAACAAGTGCCTTACCAGTAGTAACAAGAAGCTACTAGGAACAAGTGCATCGCTACTAGTAACAAGTGCCTTACTAGTAGTAACAAGAAGCTAGTAGTAACAAGTGCATCGCTACTACTAGTGACAGTAACAAGTGCATCGCTACTAGTAAAAAGTGCCTTACTAGTAGTAACAAGAAGCTACTAGGAACAAGTCATCGCTACTAGTAACAAGTGCCTTACTAGTAGTAACAAGAAGCTAGTAGAAACAAGTGCATCGCTACTAGGAACAAGTGCATCACACGACCTGTCGATCTTTCACGTCCGTCGAGCTCAATTCCAGCCGTGCGGCCGAGGGAGCAGCTTCGTGTGAGATCAAACGGCCATGAAAGCACCGAAGTCAGGTATGGCGTATGCCTTTCCAGAGTCTACCAAGTCCTCTACTAGGGCCAGATTCTTGACTGATGGCCCCGATATGTTGCAAAGACCTATGAAAAATGAAAGCACCGAGGCTGACGTCTTAGAGTCTTTAAACCAATTGCGCATCATCGACAGCATGAAAGCGTGTGTTCGTTTCAACCATGTGCGCGTGAGTGGATCAGGTTCTCACACGGCCCTCTATGAGCCACGTGGCTAACGGCCTCTGTGCTCGCGGATGGCTCGGGAACATGCAGCTACGGTGGCACACCTTCCTTCTAGAATAGGGAAGTCTGTTCAATAAAAACAGCCATTTCCTCAGGCCCCAGACCCCTTGAAGCCATCGCGTTCAGGATGTTGCGCGCACAAGTCTCGGTCCTGCTGAATTCCTGCGACACACCAAATGGGTCACCTTCGAGGTGTCATCTTTCAGTCTCGAAGTGTCGCCGGTGAGTTTGCTCTGTAGTAACAAGAAGCTAGTAGAAACAAGTGCATCGCTACTAGTAACAAGTGCCTTACTACTAGGAGCAAAGAAGCTAGTAGAAACAAGTGCATCGCTTCTAGTAACAAGTGCCTTACTA